TGAAAGCCACATTCAAACATCGAATAGTATCAAAATAGCAATCTCAATGGGACTCTACCACCGCTAAGCTCAAAGAATTGAAGCCAAAAATTGGAAAAACCAGTCACACCAACCAAATTACTCGGAGGGAGCAAAGCGTTCACACAAGACTACGAATAGGGCATTCGCGTCTGACATCGGCTCACCTACTCACTGGTGAACCTCCACCAATCTGTTTTGCCTGTGATTTACCATTAAACATCGAGCATATTATAATTGACTGTCCCTTGTATGAAGCTGATAGATGGTCACATCAAATTTCACGCAACCTAAACGAAGCGTTAAGTATGGAGCCAGAGCAAGTAAGAACGATCTTACAATGGCTACGAATCACTGGACTGTTCAACAAAATCTAACTAATGTAAGAAAGAGAGAGAGAAAAATATATATATATATTTCAACAAAGCATAATTAAATTAAAATAAAAAAAAATAAAAAAAAAACTAAAACGGCAAATTATATTCCTTTTTTTGAGACCTAATTGATCAATTTAAATATTATAACATTGCTTACCCAACCTACGTGTCTTTTCCTATGTGCCCAAATACCTACCAGCCCGCGGACTGTCCTATGTATTGTGTGTTTACAAAAGTCGCCCTGATCGTCCCCCGAGGCGTGAAGTGAGTGTCCGTGTACAGACATATCGTTACCCATGCCCTAAATTGGGAAGGAGGGTGCGGCCATTGACCGTTGCAGTCGACGCCGCTGTGGGAAAAAAAATAATAACAATAATAATTATAATAATAATAGTAATAATAATAATAATAACAATAATAATAATAATAATAATAATAATTATAATAATAATAATAACGACAAAATCATTGAGCTTTGCAAACGAATGATGATTTCTTGGAGTACCACGGTTCATCTAAAAGGTCAAAATACTGAGATCGTCACATCAAAAATTAATATCAGAAGAGGCACCTTCCAAGGGGACGCCCTGTCACCTCTTCTTTTCTGTATCTCACTCATTCCTTCGCCTGCTGAACTGAATAAAATGAGAGCTGGCTACATTTTAAATGGTTCCAAAGTCAACCACCTTCTCTATATGGATGATTTGAAACTGATTGGAAAAAATGACACAGATCTAGAAGACCAAATCAACACAGCGATGATATCCATATGGAGTTTGGGCTGGATAAGTGCGCGCAGGCTATATTCAGAAAAGGAAAGCTGCAAAGGAAGAACCACATGGAAGAGACACAGTTCTATCAAATTGAAGTTGCTGATACTTATAAATATTTAGGTATTGACGAAGGAGAACGGATAAATCATAACCTAATCAAACAGAAGGTCAAGAAGGAATACGTTAGAAGACTCAGGCTGCTACTCAATAGTCATCTGTACAGCAGAAATAAGATCCGCGCGCTAGGTCAATTTGCATTGCCAGTCCTTGTTTATAGTTTTGGCGTAATCGATTGGCAATTGGAAGAAATAAAAGCAATCGACCGAGAAACGCGCACACTGCTAACATTATATGGCTTGCTACACCCTCGCGCCGACACCGACAGGTCTTTACGTTTCCAGGAAAGAGGGAGGCAGGGGACTACAGCAAGTGGAGGCAGCCTACAAGTCAGCAATACTCAGTATAAGCGACTACTGTGAAAACATCCCAGACAGAATGATGATAATTGCCCGAAACTCTCTCTGCCAGTAACTAAGTCCCTTATACAAACTGCAACAAAATTCCGTCGCCAGTTATCTATACGGGAATCCTTAAGGCCAGACTTGCAGAAAAGAAAGGTGACCTACAAAATATGTATCCAGTCGACACTGAGGGAGAAATGGCAAGGGAAGGCTCTGCATGGACAATATGTTACCCGAGTACTTCAAAACCATAACCTCAGCAAAGAAGACACAGTGAGATGGCTCAAAAGAGCAAACGTAAAGGGTGGATGAAACAGAAAGTCTCATAACAGCGGCACAAGATCAAGCCTTAAATACCAACTACCATTCAAACCGGATACTGGGAAGAAACAACGATCCCAAATGTAGGATATGCAAAGAGAACGATGAAACAATATCTCACGTATTGTCTTCATGCCCTATCCTCGCTCAGCGCGAATACGTTACACGACACGACAGAGTTGCCAAGATCTTGCACCAGTCAATCTGCAAAGATTTCGATATTGACATTAAACACCGTTGGTATGATCACGAACCACAGCAGGTTGTAACTGCAACTAATGTCACCATTCTTTGGAATCAGCCTATAATAACAGACCGAACAATTGCTGCCAACAAACTGGACATCGTTATCAAAGACCATAAAAGTAAGTTATGCAATATAATTGATGTTGCAGTACCATCAGATTACAACGTGAAAGACAAAGAGTCTGAAAAGTTTCCAAAGTACCGGGATTTGTCTATTGAGATAAACAGAATGTGACAAATGCGTACGCACATAGTACCAATTATAATAGATTCCACAGGTGCCGTGTCTAAGAATTTTGACGCACATGTAAAGGCAATCTCAGGTACCTTAAACCCTTACCAACTTCAAACTGTTTCCATATTCGGTACAGCCCACATTATTAAAAAGGTCATAACGTAACGTCTAACCTAAGGGGTAAGGCATACCTCCCGTTTTGACGAAGAAAGTAATCCAGCCACCAACAATCAAGAGCTGAGAAATTTAAAAGAAATAATAATAATGATAATAACAATTATAATAATTATAATAATAATAATAATAATAATAATTAATAATAATAATAATAATAATAATAATAATAATAATAGTAATAGCAATAATAATAACAATAATTATAATATATATAATAAAATCTGACATACTGCCCTTAAAACCACTGCTAAATTTAAGCAAGATCGACTGAATGTCTATCAAGATATTTAGGAAAGACCGATTTTTAAAAAAAGGTTTGAAAAGGAAGCATATTTTTAAATTAACGTTTCACCTTAATATTACTTAAGGAATCGCCACCTGAAGTACACCACGTACTTAAATAACATCCTGTATAGTTCGTATTGATGAAAATGTTTTTCGTCAAGTAACAGCATCTCGATGTTGCAAGGAATTTTTGGCTTTAATTTCACCCCATAGGCACTTCTATGGCAGCCTTCACTTCCTTCTGGGTCATCTTTCTGCCTCTAAAATTCACAAGACCTTTACGTGGATCTGGTATACTCAACGGCTAAATCGCAAATTCTTCACGTCACTTTATACATCCCCATAAACATGTTATTTAGGCCTGACAGCCATTCCTACTTGTCAGCTATTCTTTGAGAGTTGGGAAAAAAGGCATGAGGTGTCAAGTTCAATGTTAGGCTTTGAAGCGTGATGTGAAAGATTGGAAGGTAATTCCACGTTTTGTTAGAATATGGATTCCGCTTAGTTTAAAAGATTCATGGGGTTTTATGAGCTGGGCTTAATGTAGCTGGAATAACGAGCTTATTCTGATAAGAGGTGCTCAGCCGTTTATGCCCCATAGGCCTTCTTCTTAATTATGTTATTTAGAATGCTTAAACTATCATTCTATGTATCAAATAACCGGTAGAGTTCCTTAGAATTCATGTATACGAACAGGAGGTGGTTGTGGCAGAACAAGGCACTAATCACTACATTTCTCACCCCTTTTTTTTCATCAAAAAGCAGCTCTTTTCCGCCTATAGTATAATATGTACTAATGAACTGCATGAGACTTAAACATTCCAGTCGTTTAAATGGCAGGACCTCAAACTTTAAACGCGATTATCTGTTAGAACACTTTTGCATTTGAACGGTAGAATTAAGGTGAATTGGCTTTTTCTCCCCTATAATAACAATAATTATTAGAATTTCTATATAACGTTCCGTCAGTTGTCCTCAATTATCAATTTTAGCTTTTTTAATAAATGTATATGTCATATATTTACATTGTCAAACCTAAGTTTTAAAAAAAAAACTATCATAGACGGCTGTTAATGTGACAGTTTATCACATGTTTATCCAACTAAGGCCCGTATCGTCAGTCGTCCCTACAATTGTAGGGCGCGTTTATGGCCTCCTTGATTGTCATAGTTTTCTACTTCTCCGTGTCAGAGCTCTATTTTGAGGTTATGTCACAAACATCTATTTGCATCAAATTGTTCTTGCTTTTGAGTTATATCATGTTTTATCAGCCTGAAATTTCCTACAATTTAAAAGGGAAACATATCTTAACAATAAGAGAGCGCTGACGCTGACACGGGACGAGTGTAATCTAGAAATTTTTGAAGGAGAGAAAAGAGTATGACAGTCAAGGAGGCCATAAATGCACCCTACAATTGTAGGGACGACTGACGATATGGGCCTAAATCTCCAACGCTTCAGTTTTAGACACGTGAAGTTGTATAATGTTAGTTTATGTCATAATAGCTTAAATCGCGGTATCAGTTCTGAATGGTTATGAACCGTTCGCTCCTGCGCAGTGTCATAAACAGCGTTCGCGGTACAGAGAGAACCATCAGTGAACAGTTAGTTCAGCGATCGCGGCACCGATTTGACCGGTTCTGAATTAGTCCTGAACTGGTTCTAACAGTTCCTGAATCGGTCGAAGCACGCAGAGTTCGCACATGCGCAGTTATCGATTATGGGCAATTTAAACGTGATCTACTTGTTTAGTTGTGAGTAAAAATTTTTAAACAACTTATTTGATAGGACACGTAGCAATGTCTGATAAGTTTTTTACTGCTGTTGTAAATAAGCGAATGTATAGACTAATTTTACAGATATCAGTGATGCATCTGAGCACTTCAGCTCCAGCGATGATGATTTAGAAGAGACATTGGACCTCATTCAAATACCAAAGTGTGAAGGATATTTTGAAGACGTTGTTCGGCAAATACCAGACAACGTATATTTTGACCACTTCCGTATGAGCCGGCAAAAAACAGAGTATCTTGCTGAAAAATTTGCTGTATCACAATACTTTTCAGTCGGCAGAGAAGGTGATTCAGAGAAAATTAGCGCACTGAAGTTTATAACTGTTTTTTATGGTATGCTGGAAATGAGGCTTGTTCAAACAGAGATGTAGCCGACAGATTCAACATATCAGTAAGCAGCTTGCACAAGATTATAAAACGGCTTACGTATTTTTTGAGTAACCTTGCCCCAGAAGTAATAAGATGGCCAGATGAAGAGGAAAAAGTCATTATAAGCCAACATTTTACAGAAAATAACTTCCCAGGTGTGATAGGTGCTCTAGATGGCACACACATTAGAATTGATAAACCATCACAAGATCCAGAATCGTACTTCAATAGAAAAAGTTTCTACTCCATCCAAGTAATAAATATTGCAAGACTACCCTACAGTATCTATAAAATATCAAGTTACAATTAGATTTTGATATAGAATTAATTGTAGGCTTTATTTTATCATGACGCATGCACGCACAGAACTATTTTACAATATTTTTTTAAGCATGCATGTTCAGGGATTTGAAAAATTAATTCTTATTGTTTATTTTTTTTCCAGGCCCAAATTGTGTGCGACCACAAACGAAGAATTCGGGATATATTTCTGGGATTTCCTGGCTCTGTTCATGATAGCAGAGTTTTTTCAGCATCACCTCTTGGTGATCATTTGGCAGAGATGTGTGGACAGTATCATCTACTTGGAGACAGTGCTTATCCATGTCTGGTTAATTTAGTAACACCTTTCAGGGATAACGGTCACCTCACTAGGCGGCAAAAAAATTATAACTATTTGCTTGCAACAAATAGGTATATTATTGAACATTGCTTTGGAATTCTTAAACAAAAATGGAGAAAATTGTATCACATAAAAATGCACAAAATTGCAGATATAGTTCATTTATTCGAGCTTGTGCATTCCTTCATAATATATGTTTGGAAGAGACAATTGTTATAGTCCCTGAAAATACAGAATTGCCAATAAACCAGGTCCTTGATAATACTGTAGATGACAACAACAAGAATGGGAATGAGAGGCGATATGACATCATGAATCGTCTTCCTATAATATTGTAAACGTCTTACAGAAGACCTAAGGGTTGTTTGAAAAATTGGAGTCAATTCCTCTAACAGGATCAGAGATCACTCGTTTCAAAAACATTTATCTTCCTTCATATGTGGACTGGAAAAAACCATAAAATTACCCCATTTTTTACTGTTATTCTCAGCCTATATGGGAGGATGAAAAATGTTTTTACGTAATTGATTTACAGGCTATTGATCTAATAAAATGGTTCCGTGAAAAAAAATTGCAGTCTGTGGAACGGTTGTTGCCCTCGCACTATTCTCTTGGATTACATGAAACCTCAAAATTAAACTTTTTGACTAAACATCTAAAAATTGGACATTCAAGGCTTTAGATAACTTGTAAAACCTTAACATGATCATTTTTCACAGATACAGCACTTCACTAAAATTTAAAATTGCTATTTGATCCCTTGATTGTTCCCATTATTTTTCATGTATGCATTTATTTTTGGTTTATTCATATTGGATATCCCACAGATCAGTACCTGAAAGGTGCATAAGCGGAGCAATATTGTTTGTCTGTATCAGTCTAGGCCTTATTTAATATAAATCTGTTTAAATGATTTTGGAAATAAATTAATGTTTTTCATACAAACTTTATTTTAAATTCTTATGGAGCCTGTAAACGGGCAATCTTTTCGTCAAAATACATTGCTATGCTGCAACATTATCATATACGGTTGCTATTGTTACTACAGCAAAATTTCTATGATTATATTGCCCATTTAGTGGCTCCAGTATATAAATAACAATAATTAATTTTTTAACTTTAGTACTGAGGACTCTATTTTTCTCTTTCCAATCTGCCTTCTTAAGAGTATGTTCCTCTCTTCTGCCATATTTATCTTTTGTTTTTCAACATCTAATCGCTGCTTGTAGAACTCTCTCCTATCGTCTCTGATTTCTTGTAAAATGTTATACTTCAGACGTTTATTAGGATACGTTTTAGTTTTGTGATGTTGGCGTCGTGGTGTTTCTTTGGATGAGTGTGGGGTTAATAATTGCTCCTCTGGTGATTCCAATGCAGGAGTGTTCAGCATATCAACCCTGCTTGTATCAGATATCTCGGGTTCCAAGTGTTCTACCGTGTTACTTGATAACAGGAGCACTGGATTGATATTCTTTTTGTCCACTAATATGTCGGCCATTATGTCCGCATACTCAAAAAAGCCTCTACCCCTGCCTGTTTTTTTATTATTGTCACAAAATTTTTTGTAATTTCTTTCCAATACCTTCTATCGATTTTCACAGTTTGATGGAGCCACGTTCTCATTGGTTCTATGGTTGATCTCATTGGCAATGGATTCGTACAACTTTTTTAGTTTTATTTTCCCAGCCATCAGCAATTGCTTATATTTCTTATATAAATCCAAAAACAGTAACGTATTCTGTCGTGTCCATTTATATGAAACCTCTGCATTTTGGGATTGCCACTGTGATTGAATTGCAGAATTACCTTCTGTACTGATTAGTATGTATTCACTGCATCCTAAAATAATCCAGATTTAGTTTGTTTGTATGACTTTTGTTCAACTATAATTCTTACCAACACTGTGAGTATTTTCATCACCCTGGAGTGCCCGATTTGCCAGTTTCCAACTTAAAACCATAAAACATACACTAAAAACCGCATAAAAACAGTGGAGATTGAGGAATAAACGACGAAACGCCAGTCAAAGACTTTTCATGTGCCAACACTGTGTCAACGTCAAGCGCAAAGTGTTAATGTCAACTGTCATAGGCATAGAGCTGTCATCGCCAGTTTTCATGAGATCGCGGTACCCACAAAATCCTGAACCAGCACTGAACCGCGCATGCGCAAAACATTGAACTTTACTAGTTCTGATCCGTTCGGAACTGGTACTGTATTTGTACCGCGATTTAAGCTAGTATGTACAATACCTCATAATCAAAATTGGAAATAAGGTGCGTCTATCTATGCTCAGTCCATAAAAAGTAATGGAATGGCTGATGATATTGTAAAATAGATGATCTGATTTCAAGACCTACTTAGCTAATTTAGTGTCTTTGGAATAACTAAGGTTTGATAATGTCAATGTACGTGATGCTACATTCTAGGAATAAAAATTCAAATTCCCCTGAGCAAAAACTTAATATGGCCTTTGCAAGAAAACATAAAGTTGCTGATTGAGGACAAGAGACGAAACATCATATTTATTTTTTTTTGTTCTGTTATTGGCACTGGTCGATGACCAACTGGCCATCCTTATGTTCAGTATAATGCTATGCTTTAATAGAAAATAGAACATCCATTACTTAATTGTATTTTATTTCTATTATAGTTACATAGAGTATGCGAACACATATTGCTCTTTTTTTAAGGTTTTTTTAACCAATACAAAAATAAGTAAAATTTTTTCCTTTTTTCTATTTTGTTTGAGATTGTTCTTTTTCTCTTTTTTTTATTATGCATATCTAGATATATATATATATATATATATATTGCTTTATACTGATCTGCTTTTTTTTCAATATTTTCTTCTTTATTTCATTTTTTCAAACGAACTTACTGTAGTTTACATTTTATAATGTTAGACCTACTTTCCGACAATGCTTGTATAAAAGTTCGTAAACTCTCTGGTTCTCAGAACTGAGAATTGATTCTTAACTTAGAGGCAAAGGAAGGTGATTCGCTAATATTTTATACAATTCAGAATTTTCTTTGTTAGAACTTGTACCTTCTAATATTAGGTGTTGCAAGGTTCCTATATTTCCACAACTGCAAAGTGGATCATCTCCGTATCCAATTCTTGATTTATGATGTGGCGTCAGGACATGACTACTTCTTATTCTGATCAAAGTTCTAATGTAAGGAGGATTGGTAATTCTTTGAAACCAAGGTATGCTTCGAAGAGTCTCTTGTATACGTTTCCGGTAACTTCCTGTTGGACTGATTTTGTAATGGTTATTCCATTTATTCTTTAGTCGTTGTCTGATCAGAAAATGAGTGTCAGTAAAAGGAATTTCGATGCCCGGAACGTAATCGCCTCTAGTTGTAGCTCTTTTTGCAAAATTATCTCGTTTTCTTTTATACCTGAGTGGCCTTTGATCTAGACTATGTTTATAGTTTTGTCCATTCTGTTCAGCTCCTGAATGCGCTTGATGATGTTCGCAATTAGATGATTAAGATCTGCAGTGGGGTGACAATTTTCCAATTTTGTTACAGCACTTCTACAGTCGGTAAAAATAACAAAATTGTTATTTCCATGGAATTGGAAACAGTATTCAATAGCTTGGTTGATCGCAACCAGTTCTGCTGTGTATACCGAACATTCAGGTGGCAACTTGATTTCTTGGTGATACGAATTGTTGCTGTGATAATTCTATTCTGGAATTCTAATTATGCCTTCTTGTACAGGAGAAGTGGTAGTGCAAATATACCATTTATTTTGAAATCCTGTCCCAAATGAAGGGAAAAATAAAAAACGATCGTGGTTAACTTAGGCTTATCTCGTCTATATTCGGAAACATTCAGAATTGCAAAACTTTGAACTTTTTTATTAGTTAACTAAATGCGCAAATTAGCCGCCACTGAACCTTTTTCTTAGATCCTACTGATGGGAGCCGGACCTGAAATACCTGGTATATATACAACACTATGTCGTAAATTGGTATTGAACTGAACTTTTATATGCCAAACTTCACGAAGATAAATTTTTTACAACCGTATATTGAGGGCGAACATGTGGCCTTTCTTAAGGTTATGCGAGATAGTACAGTCACAGGATATACCACTAGAGTTAGTAAAATATTTTCGCCTTAGATGGGCGAGCTTTGCAGATCACTGGATGCATAGCTTTGGAAATTCTAAATCACTGTCTTTAAAGAGAACTCTTAATTTTATGGATACGAGAGAAATTGGCATGGACTAAGTTGGAGTATCAATACCGGTCTGTAGAGTAGTAGCAAGTGTACTTTGGGAGATAGTAGTCTAGTTGACCATTCTTTGCATGTGTTAAATAGGTGATATTTGTTTTACTAAAACGAATATATATATATATATACTGTTTTTTTAATCTTAGAAAATTATAAGACTTTAATTTGTATATAAATATTCTTAAACAGGTGCAGATGCAGTCCCATAGAATAATGTGCTGTGACGTCATACCATTTGTAAACAGCAGCTGACACCAGTATTACCTCTCAAACTTTCAAACATATAAACATCACTTCTACTAGTTTAGATGGAAAATATAGTAGTTATTGTTATTAAGTCGTCCAAGAATGCAAAAGTACATCGACAAAGACCCCAGGAAAGCTATGGGTTACTATGATCAGGAAAATAAATATGCGCAACACATTGCTAAGACACTAAGACGTGATTCTGATCTTTGTTGAATGTACGTCAAATTTACTTTTGTGATGATCACTTTGATGCAATATTAGATCACATTATTCCGAGGTTACGTTGTTTGAGCTTAGTTTGAAATCACTACTGAAAATGAATATTATTTAAGTGTATTTATTACTCATTCTTTTTCATGCCTATCATTAAATCAGATCCTCTGTACTTACATAGAGCAGAGCAGAAATCTGGGTTGAAAGCGAAAAATGACCAACCGTAAATGTCGACCAGTGTGTGTCAGTTTTCAGTAAATTTGTACTTCCTTTTACGAATATAACGTTCTTTAATAATTTTTCAACAAAACGAGTAAACTATAACCTTGTACGTTGACTTGGAGCTTTTCAGAAACATTTAAAGAGGACAATGTTAGTCCACGACTTTGTTTACAATTTCTATGACGTCACATCGTGGTCGATAGCGTTTTCATCGTTTGAAATTAAAAATAGAAAATATATTTTTTAAATATTGGGCTTTTAAAAATTGAAATAGATGTATTTAGTTTTCTTTAGTCAAATGCTATAAGAAATACTCATGTATTCTATGAAATTAGATATGAGTCAAATAGCATAATCTTGAGCACAACGATTGATAACAAATAACAGGCAGTTTGTGATGACTGTTCTGAAGTTAGTCAAATAAGTTTAAGAGCGCATCCGTTTTTGCCAAAATAATGTATTTCTAGGTTTTTCATAATTCCAAATGTTTGATCCGAAAGTTCGTCCCCAGATTTGAAACTACGGCGAGACTTCAGCACCCTTTCTTTAAGAATGACCCTGGCGGCATGTTCTCTATCAGCGTTAAATAATGCAGCTTCCCGAAATGTAGTAAAGTAGATCAGATATTTATACCACGTTTCCAAAACTCCCTGAATTCCAATCCTTGAAAATAAAAGAAAGTGGGTTGCCTTTTGGGGTGCTGGATTCCTGAACACTGACTCCCCGAGTGAATATCGGCAGAAAGCTGCAGCGAAGTTTATGCGTATTTAGCGTAATTATCGTTATTTTGATGTTTGAAATACGACGTATCCGTATGGTCATGTTGCTTTTTTCGTAATGTGATGGTATCGTTACACGAATGACTTAAACTCCTCCTTAATACATACGTATGTTACAAATGCTTTTTTTTAGAATCTTATTATGAGCTTTGGAGGATACTACACTTTCTATTGCAAACCTGATATTGTAATTCCTCCAGATACCAATATTTCTGATTTGTCGGATTCATGCGATGTGGAAGAAGCTAGAATCGTGAGTTATGAGGAATCTTACAAACTGCAGGAAATTGAGGAAACCGATTTAGTGTTGAGACCATAAATGAAGGTGCTGATGACGACCAGCCAGCAAGCGCGCTTCAGTAATTCTTGGAGTAGTTCTCAATGGATCCTATTAGGAATATTGTATACCAGACAAACCTTTATAGCACCCAGCAAAACGGAACCAGTATAAATACGACAACTAATGAAATTACTGATTTTTTTATCAATCAGTCAAATCAAACTTTCACCCTACTTATTGGGTCAATGTAAACAAATGGAGACATTTCCAAAAGTCACTTTCCCCTATTTCTTGTTATTCTAATTATTTGATATTTAATGTTGGAATAAAACAGTTTTTCTTTTATGTTCACATGGTTTGACCGAAGGCTTAATATATACTCAATCGTCATTGGCGATAACCTCCAATTCTTTCATCATATAAAAATTTGCCAGTGGTCGGCTCTCTAGATCAGCCTCAGAGATAGGTTTGACACTATAAATGTTTGAATCTAATGTGTTGTGAGGACATGTGGGTCGGCCGTTAATCCTACTACGCTATATAGACGGAATTCATGCAGCCAGACATAGGCACCGATAAGTCACCGACCAATGTATGAACAAACCTTAATATGTAGCGCAACTAGTGTCAGAGCCAAAACTGATTCCAGAAGAACACATTGACGCAGGGGAAGAAAGAGACAACTCATCACATACCACGGATATCCTACAAAAGTAGAAGTACTGATTCATTTATTTGCAAAGTCTCTTCAGGAGACCACAGTGGGGAAAGAATTGTGAGAGCATATTTGTGTCGCTACTCTCAAACATTATAGATCTTGAAAATGTGCGATGAGATGGAAAGGATCCATCGGCCAGCTTGTACACCGGCTTTTTTTGGTCGTCGGACTACTCCCTTCTTGTAAATGTGCACTTTAAATACAGCTATTCATATTTTGATTATGTTGGGTTTTGTCAAAATATTACTTAATTTGACTGTCCTATGAAGGCGGGTAGCCAAACCGAACCTCCTGCTTGCATTATTCATGACGTCACCATTGATCCCGCAGGCTGGTAACGGGAACGGCATTAGAGGTTGTCTACTTTCCTGCGAAAAACGCACATAGATCATATGAATTATTTAGGAAGTGACGGCGATCTGATCGCCTGGGTATGTCTTCTTGTATCTTAGGTCGTATAACAAGCTGCAAGTCCGGTGAGAAACGAGGTGATATTGGTTGGAGGCTTTCACTATCGACGACCCCTTGAGACAGCGAGACATTGGCGACTTTTGGGCACCATAAGGAATGAAATATTTTTGAATCTAGGAACATGTGTTCTTATGTGTCAAGTAATAGTCACAGTACTTAACTTAGTGTATATCCTTGTTTCACTTACCTACGAAGGTTTTATTTTGATACTACTGTTCAAATAGGCTTCTAACATCCCCGCCACCATGAAACATACATACGTAAAACAAGCTCTGAGCCCGGTAAAAAAAGCAGGTGGAGTTGGTCTGGGGGCTCTCATTATTGCTGACTCCTTGAGACAGTTGGACACTCCCGGCTTTTGGGTATATAAGGAAATAAAATATTTTCGAATCTACGAAACATTCGCTTTTACTTATCAGGTAACAGTACCGGCAATCACCTTAATCACCCCACCTCATTTCACTTAATAAATGAAAATGGCACATTGTTAGAAATTTGTGGACAATGTGAAAAAAAAAACAGAATTTAGTATACCTGTATAATATGAACAACTGTTGAATGGTTGGCCTAAGCCTGATCAACTTGTATTATAAACTTGCATCCTTTATCAATTTTTGGAGAATATTTATTTCATTTTGCATACTTTTTTTACACCGAACAAGATCAGGTCCTCGGTGGTCTCGAGTAGCCGAAATGAATGTCTTCTTTGGCAGAACTCGGAAACTGCATGAGCGCTAGGACGCTTTTTGTTCGTCAAGGTACAGTACTGTGTTTTGGAAGCATTAAACTGTAGAAAATGTTTGCTTCTCCACGCAGTGACAACGTACAACCTTATTTAATACCGCTAATGGCTATCTAGAAATACAATGGAAAGAGCTTAGTCTTATGGGCTTCCAACATCACTGCCTCCACATAACCGTACATAAATCATATGAATTATTCAGAAAGAGACGGCGCTCTGACCGCCTGGATATCTCTTAGGTCATATAACAAACTGTCCGGCAAAAAACGAAATTGGTTGGGGACTTTCACAATCGATGATTCCTGGGGACAGCGGAACCTTCGCGGCTCTTGGGTATATAAAGGAATAAAATATTTTTTAATCTAGGAAACAGTCATAGTATTTACCTTAGTGATACCCTTGTTCCTCTCAGCTAGAAATGTTTTATTTCGTTCCATTGTTCTAATGATTATCTAGGAATTCGATTTGCAGAAGTTATAAGCTTTTAATATTCCTGCCTCCACGAAATACGTACATAAGTCATATGACTTGTTTAAAAACTGACGAGGACCTGATCGCCTGGATATGTCTCATGCTTATTTATTTTCTGTCTGTGTGCAACCAACTGTACGCTGCTCCTATTCGCAAATCCCTTCGTACTACGGCCTCTTGACATCTTGTCCTAACATATTTCACCTCATCTGGCCTTTACCTACAAAACAAACTTCTGCGGTGGTCCTTCAGCAGAAACTCAGCGGGCAATCTGGTAAACTCCTTCAACATAACAAACTTTCTGCCGCGAGTATTTCAATTATCGTCTGCCTTATACGATTCTCAAACGGCGCCGGCGCATTTAACGTCACTGCCAGCTGAGGACGTGTACGTCTTTAATAGGTTTATTGGGTATTGGGGATTGAAGGTTTCTATTTGGGTTCTGGGTTGATGCAAGTGGAAATTGCCTGACTATGTCAAGGGCTAAGCCTAGGAATTATTTTATTTGTAAATAATTCGGCTAGCTATAAAATCAAAGTCCAAGGGGTGTTGTCGAATCAGGTAATCTATATTTTCCATTTGACAAAAGACCATGTGCCAATGAATAACACATTAGAGATTTTTTCATCGTTTGACGATGTAGTTTGCCTGAAAACACTTACTGTTTGAAGTTATTGACCACTTTTTTCAATATCCGTCTTGAAATCCAATAGCTATACAAAAGTTACAGCACAGTGGAAAATCGAGAATATGTTGCATGCAACGCTGATGTCAAAATGAGAACACCTATTCATTGGTTCGACATTTTCGTGCGACAAATCTGGAATTCAAGACCCGAGAAGACCTCCTTGGTCGATCAAAGATATCTTCGAAACGAGATCAAAAAAGATGTGGTCGAATTTATCGCTGATACCATCATTTCCTTATCTGTCGCCATTTTTAATAATCCGCTGGGCAGAAAAAGTCGAAAAATGTGTGAATTGCTATGTTACGCCTTTGACAGCGACGTTTGATGCATTTCTTGGAATCGCTGTTATAAACGCCAAACAAAACATTAACATTCCCGAAATAACTAAGGAAAGAGAGGATGGCGTTAATCTCTAAATTACTATTTCACTTTTCACCCCTCTAATTTAGTATTTATTGCGTTAATTATAAGAAACGGCGTGCTTCTTTTTAATAGTCAACAGACATCCACAGGGATATACAGCTTCCATTCTTAATTGCCTCGTAATGTATTCAATTAAAAAAGTTAATTAAAGAGCAACAAAAAAACCATCTTGAATCACCGGCTTGTCGCCTTGATTAAACCAAAATAATGGTAATTTTATAGCGATTCTCTGCGATTAAGCCGCGCGTATTAATGGAGTCAGAAGCTTTCTCGGTTTCTTAATTAAAATCAAAATTCAGAACGAGAATAATTAAGAAATAGAAGTGTTTCTGGTGCAGCGACGTGACCTCAGGGCAGGCAGTTGGGACAAAAGAGCTTTAGTGGCAGTGGTCCCTTGGATCGAGCTTGAAACTTTACCTTAAAAGAACGAAGATTAAAACCAAGAAAATTTAATCAAAGCAAATACATGATACTGCTGAAGAAGGCACGTTTTGCTTTCCATCTCTGTAACCACGCCCAACCGCATACAGTGCTATTTCATCGTCATTAGTGCAGTAAGTGCCTTGGAGGCAGACGAAACGGGACGAAAGTATGGTCTTTTGGAAAATTCAAAACATTGTGCGCCAGTAGGCGGAAATCTGGCAATGGCCACCAACCGGTTGCTTGGAGAGCAAATTTTCATCCTCATCCCACACGACCACACGATGAAGATGACAGAAAGACCCTGACGTGCTCTGGTCCATAACCGCTTGAAAGTGGGATATCTTCCGGTTTCCACTAACTTGCGCACAACAAATCCTCAAGATTGTAACTTTTCTTTGGATAGCGTATAGGTGACGCAACAGTAAGCAAGTTTTCCGAGCACCAAAACCTCAGAATAGCCGAGATATTAGGTGCCGAAGTACTCGGGCGAAGTCGGACCTTGCATCCTACCTCACAAGGTACGATATTTTGTGGTACAATTGCGTTGAGAAGACTCGTGTAGCTTATTTACAATCGAATTTGAAAAAAGGCATTTGCACCATCCTATAGCAATAACGGAGTTATTAAGTTGATGTTAGTTTCCGTCAACTGCCTTCAAGGTTGTAGTGCTATTTTGTGGGTGTACTCAGATCGTTCCGATGTTTCCATCCCGAGCTGGTTACGGTAGAAGACTTAGGCACCCCAGTTATAGCAAATTTAGGAACAAGTGTGTTTTTGAATCGATCGACGTCAACTTCAACAGTATTTACGGACATAACAAATGACATGGTAGTACTTAAATTTACTGATCAAATGAATAGTGAGAAGTTTTTTCCTTTATACATTCTTGCTGCTGTTCCATGGCGCACTAGCTTTTTTCTTTCAAACGTATTTGTTTCTGGAAAGAAAAGTCCCAACTTTCAGGACAACCTATATTATCAAGTCTAAAAACCTGTTTAGATCTACCATTGCTAGAAGTGCGAGACGCTCTGTTTGGTAGAGGGTAACCCTACCGGAGAGTGTATAGCTTTCGACGAATAAGGAAAATATTGCTTAATGACAAATGATACTATCTAGAGCTTTAGAAACGTAGTGGAGAGGAAATTCTCGCAATAATGTATGGCTTTTGATATAACGATAAGCAATTACATCAGCTAGAACATAATAAAAAACATAATGCATACATGAAAGCTTTTATCACTTCTTCAGCAAGGGGCAGAACTCAAGGTCTTACTAAATGGCAAAATGCAATTGTCATTTACTTAGACTCGACGTAACCATTTCAACGCACATTTCATTCACAGCAGTTGTTATGTCAGAGTATGACCTCGCCTCCTAGTTCCTGATAAAGCGTACACATGAATTTTGAGGAATCTACTAGGTAACAACCACAGCATTATTCTTACTGAGCCTTGCTAGAACTGTCTCTCATTTCATTTAACTTGGTACGGGGAGTTTGTAAAATGTCGTTGTTCTAAGCAGTTATTAGTTAGCTTTGTGGGCTTTCAGTATTAGCGTTTATTGCTGGTTAGCGATCAGTCTTAATACTTGATAGAAACATGTTTTCCAGTAGATTACTCGCCAAATAGCGAATCTATTCGTCAAGTCTCTGCAAAATATTCTATGCTGATAATTTCGCCGTAGCATTGATATCTTGATGTTATAATTATTTACATTGTGCTACTCACAGTCAAAATATAAAAAAATGAATAGGCACATGTTCAATACGCTAGAACATGGCGGACATAGAATCTTTAACGGTATCGAATGACTTCAAGATCCATAGTTACATACTAGTCTCATTTTAATCTTAGCTTGTGTAAACAGCCTTGTATCTGGCACTAGTTTCCTTGCTCTGATTTTCAAGGCTACTTTTTATGAGATGATAGCTTCAGATCATGGCAATCTTCGACCCGCCACTGGTGGAGGATTTCAGTTTTCAAGTCGGCATAAGCACCCACGAAATGACCGGCAGGTTTATGAGAAAGCTGGAGATGAGCTACTACTTTCTTGCAGGATTAGAGGAAAGTTATTGCGCCTGGTACTCCACCCGGCTAGTTCTCAAAACCGCCCACTGCGATACTGCAGTGATAGAAGGCACCCCAGACTAT